AGTTCAATACTAGATAAGACACGTCGCACACACTACGGACACCTGTGGAACATCATGCACCCCCTCCCACGGGCATGCATTTGTATTTTACTACTAGTAATAGCATTGTCCGTCTTTCTCCAACACCAGACAGGAAATTATACCCGTGGTATCACACGTACAATGGGGGATGCGTGGATAAATTGCCACGTCATAGATGTCTTTATGCGAACAATGCAAGGTGTGAATATTTCGGAGAGTGTCTTACTTTCATTTTGGTTCTTTACGTGTTTCAGTCAACATGCATAACATAACCATTAGTGTTACCGAAGCACAAGAAGTTGCCAACCGCGCCCTGTTTATCCACTCTGTTGATTGTAGGTGGGAATCAGTACGAATGCGGGGTTAGATGACAGCGGATTTTTTCCCGACTCTGGCCCTGACTTGGCAATAGAAAGGGACTTCCGAGAAAAAGAATGTAATTTCTGTTTTTGCCAGCCTTGCGTTACCACGATTGGTTGGGCAGTGGCCAATGTCAGTGTGATAATAATGCTCATAAGACGTTGGATGTACAAGAAATATTGGACCATGTTGGGACGCAGAAACGTTTGGAACGACGACCGATACATTGAACGCAAGCGTCGGTTGATGATTGCCGATGATGTTGTTGTCACTCAGGGAAATCAGATATCAACTTGTCTGCTACACCATGATTGCCAAAAAACAAACACGGCCTTCCTTTTATTCCTCGGATCATTTTTTTCCAAATGTGTGACATTATTACCCGATTGTCATTAACTTCGTTGAATCCGCTATGTGATAATATGAGAAACGCATTAGGAACTGCGTAAATGCTTGTGGAGATTAAATGACGCATCCTGTTTCAGCGGTCCAACAAAGCGTGACTTTGATTGACAGCAGTTAATTATTCAAGCTTAGTAGCGCGCCCCTTTCCCGGTTCGTGTTTTGACATTTATGCGCCAAAATCTCAACTTTCAATACTATACACAGTCACTGATGTTTCGTTTGCTGGGAATAGTGTTCGTTAGATGAAAAATCCAAATATTTAATACGCATGTGCAGTGTGTGTTATTGTACGTACCAAAAACAACCAGTTCATGCGTATTAGAGAATTCTATTGTTTAGAATACTCGGACGTTTATTTTGAGATGACGATAGATCATAGACCAATATATTTTTGAAAATACAGTATGATATAACACGTGGACAATTTAAATTATTGTTGAGCGAAATATTTATCAAAAAGCCGCTCACTGGTAGCATAGTGGTTGTCGCATCAGACTCATGACCGGTAGACCCAAGTTCAAATCCTACCTTAGGTTGAACATCAAGAGCGTCGATCCCTACCCTGGGTGAGTGTGCCACAGACTCAATGGGAAGGCCGAGATTCATTCACTAACGAATGCGACTTTGGTGAAACCTTGTTTAGGGTCCGCAGGTGCTTGTGTTCGACCGAGCCTGGTTGGCGCCAGAATAGCGCATTGAATTGCCATTTGATAGGAAGATGGCCCCACAGCCCTGCCATGTTGTCCCAATCATGAATATGACTTCTGTGGCAAAATGCACTATGTGTCAGCACTTGCAATTTGCACATACAAAAAAGTCAGAAGAGACAACAGTGACATGCAATGTCCGGAACTGTCGCCTGGCACAAAAGAACTTAAAAAATAAAAGATTT